GTAGTCTATTTTTAGGTTGTGCATGTTGCCAATGTTAATTTGTTTTAATGTGTGAGAGATGGAAGTTACTTTATTTTTCCAGGTGGTTAACTAGTTAACGCAGATGACTGCTTTTCTGTAATACTTTTACTGAGATATAATTCATATACTCTAAAATTCACCCATTTAAAGTGTACAATTCAGTAGATTCTGTTTTTTTTCTTTGAGACAGTTATGCTTTTGTTGCCCAATGGTGCGATCTCAGCTCACTGCAACCTCTGTCTCCTGGGTTCAAGCGACTCTCCTGCCTCAACCTCCCGAGTAGCTGGGATTACAGGCGCCTGCCATCACACCTGCCTAATTTTTTTTTTTTTTTTTTAAGACGGAGTCTTACTCTGTTGCCCAGGCTGGAGCTCAGTGGAGCTATCTCGGCTCACTGCAAGCTCCGCCCCCCGGGTTCACCCCATTCTCCTGCCTCAGCCTCCCCAGTAACTAGGACTACAGGCGCCCGCCACCTCGCCCGGCTAATTTTTTGTATTTTTAATAGAGACAGGGTTTCACCGTGTTAGCCAGGAAGGTCTGGATCTCCTGACCTGGTGATCCACCCACCTCAGCCTCCCAAAGTGCTGGGATTACAGGCGTGAGCCACCGTGCCTGGCCGAATTCAGTAGTTTCTAGTTTATTCAAAGTGCTATGCAACCATGATCACAATCAACTTTAGAACATTTTCATTGCCCCAAAAAGACACCGATACCCATTAGCAATCATCCATTTTCAACCACTCCATGGGCTACAGGGATCTTTTCTGTTATTGCACTTGTTCTATATTCTTATTTTATGTAATAAGCATGCATTGCCTTTGTAATTACAAAGTAAAAAAGAAAAACGTTTAAAAAAATACTTATGTATACGAGATTTTAAACTGATCCAACTGATTTGTTTTACTTTTTAGTCACTCAAGTAATTCCATGTTCTAATGCTTTTCAGGCCAGATTGGGAGCATTCAGAGTGGTATGGCTGTAGACATGTTCTAATGTTTTTCAGTGAGGAGGTAAAACAGAAATGGGGAGAGGCAGTGGCTTATGCCTGTAATCCCAACACTTTGGGAGGTCGAGGCGGGCAGATCAGGAGGTCAGGCGATTGAGACCATCCTGGCTAACACGGTGAAACTCCGTCTCTACTAAACACACAAAAAATTAGCCAGGCATGCTGGCGGGCACCTGTAGTCCCAGCTACTCGGGAGGCTGAGGCAGGAGAATGGCATGAACCCGGGAGGCGGAGCTTGCATTAAGCCGAGATTGCGCCACTGCATTCCAGCCTGGGCGACAGAGTGAGACTCCGTCTCAAAAAAGAAAAATAAATAAAATAGAAATGAGGGAGGTCTATTAAGTTAAAGTAGTTCAGTATTTCAAGAAAGAGTACATTGCTGAGATAGTAGAAGGCAGCCAAAAATCTTTCAAAATAAGTAATAAAAATATTTTATTTGAATTTAGCAATATTGTTAATTGTTATAGTTTGTAATATTCAAACAACTGATGATAAATAATGTCAGAAATGAAAGTGTCCCCCTACTCATTCCCTATCTACAGAAATGACCAAAGTTAATATTTTCAGGTATTCTTCCAGATTTTTCTGTACACTGAATGTATGTATAAAGACACAGCTATTTTGCACAGAAATGGGATCATGTTATCTATATAATTCTGTCATTTGCCGTTTCCACTTCAACACATTCTTCTATTTCATTTCATGTCAGTTATAGATTTAATTCTTTTTAACGTTGAATTATTACCTAACCCAGCACTGTTCAATGTAACTTTCTGTGATATTAGAAATGTTTATGTCCCTCTTGTCCAATACAGTAGCCACTAGCTGTCTTGGCTAATGAGCCTTTGAAACACGGCTAGTGTGAGTAAGAAACTGAATTTTGAATTTTATTTAATTTCAATAAATTTAATTTTAAATAGCCACAAATAGCTATCATATTGGCCAGCACAGACTAACAATGTCTCAAAAAAACGAACATTGAGGTTCTTCAGTATTACGAACTGAATTCTTCAGTATTACAAACATGACTTTGGTAAGCATTACTGTACCCACATCTTTGTCTTTCATGCCAGCATTTTCGTAGGCTAGATACTTGTACGTAAAAATGCTGGTTGCTTAGGGGTTTGCTTTCACACTTTGTAAATGCTACTACACAAAACTGTAAAAGAGCTGTAGTCATTTCCACCCACTAGGTGTGAAAGCTCTCATTTCCCCACATTCTCAACAATATTGTGTACCATCTACATTTTTAGTTTTTGAAATTTGATAACTGAAAACGAAGTATGTCATCTGTTTCCGTTACCAATTTATTGCCTCTCACCTCCCCACGCACTTTTCAATATACGCTCCCTGCTAAAGGGATTCCCCAGAAGCGTTCCTGCGCCTGCGCACGCGCACTCGCACTCGGAGCACAGGTTACAACTTCCAGAAACCCCTAGGCCGTGCCGTCCCAAGGCACTTGGGTTTCCGGCGTCTCCTGAGTTTCCGGCCCTGGACTACAATTCCCACAGGCCACCGGGCCGAATGAGCGTGGGCCCCTGGGGCGCTTTGCGCATCCTAGTGATTCTTGGGCTCCGCGTGTAAGCAAGTAGTTTCGGAAGGAGGCGTCGAAGCAGGACGAGGCGCAGAGGGAGTTGCGAACTCCTACTCCAGTCGGCAGTGCAGGTGAGAATGGGAGAGGCACTGAGGTGAATGCGAGCCGCTGAAGAAGGTGACAGTGTGGCTGGGTGTAAAGAATTGAGGGAGAGGGGTGTGTGGGGAACCAGCCTCAACACCACCCGTAGGGTACCCGATGTTCGGTGGCGACAAAGGCATGAGAAGAGAGAAGTTAAGAGTTCGTGAGGTGGGAACCAGGGAGCTAGAGCAAATCAGAGGCTGCAAAGGCGCCAAGCTCTGGTCTCCACACTATTTATTGAATACAGTCACTTAGATCTAAGAAGCAGATGTTCAGGGGTGAAACGGTGAAAGGCGGGCGGTGTGTCATACACCTATAGCAATGACGGTTTAGGTAAATGGTCTTTGTGCTGAAGCAGCATAAACTTAACTACTGATTTATTCTTTAACTTACTGGAGAGCAGCTGTGGGGAGTGGGCTTAACTAGGAGCCGGCGTATCTGGCCACATTCCAGTGCTTCAAAGGAGTGCCTTTCTCCTTGAACACAGTGTTTACAGATAAGAGAGCAGGTCTTGCTCTGAGCATGGGAACATAATGGCAATTAGGAGGCTTTCCTCCTCAGAGGCCTCTTGTGGCTTTCCACAACTTATTGTCCCATATTTTTATGGCCAGTTTATGCAGCCACCCCCAAGCCCTTTTCCCAACAGGGGTAGGCAAAACGAGGTCGGCCGTCTCCCTGGCTGCGTGTGATGGACCATCCATGGTAGTGACAGACATGGTGTAGGGGGTGTGTGCAATATTATGTGCGTGACAGAGCCAGGGATGTGCCCTACCATGCGAATGGTGACGTTGCATCTGCATGAGAGTGCACATGCCAGGGCTGGGATGTCTTGTGTGACACATGGAATGGGGTGTGTGTGTGTGCATCTGTGCACATGAAATGGCCAGGGTATGTCGTCATGACTGCTTGTGTGCTCATGACAGAGCAGGTGTGTTTCTCTGTGACTCTGTGACAAACTGTGTGTATGTGCAAAAGAGAAGAAAGTGGTGTATGGCAGGACTGGGTTAAATCTGTGACTGTGACACAAGTGTGTGGGTTTGTGTGTAGAGTGACAGCTGGAGTGGGATTTCATGATGGTGTAATGTGTCCTATGGTATGTGACAGGTCTCAGGTATGTCTCTGTGACTATGTGGTATGAGTGTGTGTGTGCGTGACCTATGCGTGTGACAAGTCAGGATATGTCTCTGTGACTGTGTGTGACAGGCATTGTGCATGTTTGTTGGGTGGTAGCTTGTATGGATATGACAGTATATGAAAAGTATGTGAAAGGTTAGCACCTGTGCATGTTACAGGGCCAGATGTGTCTGTGACGTTATGTAGAAGACTTTTGTATGTGCATGTTTTGTGTGTGTCTTTGGAAGTGACAGGGCCAAAATGTATTTACATGACTATGTGACAGTTCTTATGTACGTGTGAATCATGGTACACACAGTTTGACAAATATTATGTGTGAGGGCATCTTTAGACTAGGCAAGCCGGGGCTAGCTTTCTGTGTGTGTGTGTATGTGTGTAAGAAAGAGAATTCTGTATGTGTGTGTGTCTTTGAGCATCTGACTAGTCAGCATATGTGTCTCTGGGACTATGCTGACACACTTATGTGTGAGTACCTTTGCACATGACAATTCCCGAGTGAGTCTTTGTGACTGTACATAACATATTGCATGCATATGAGTGACAGGTCTGAAGTGGATTTGTGTGTTACAGACATGGAGTACATGTAGGTGTCTGTATGATTATCAGGGCAAAGATATGTCTCTGTGGTTTGTGACATACGTTTGAAAGAGAGAGAGTGGATATGACAGGATCTGGGCATATGTCTGTGAAAGATTGAATGGTTATGAGGCTATGACTGACATGTGATGTGCTTTGTGACTTACTGAATATGTATCTTTTAGTATGTCAAAGTCAAAATATAGACTAATGTCTGAAATTAAAACAATTTATTTGGGTAGAAAGAATTGCATTGGGGTATATATGCAGACCAGGGGGTCTTTGGTATGTCCAAAGAACAAAGAAAAGGTTAGAGGTTTTATTTTTAAAAAGAGAAATGTGGATGGGCGTGGTGGCTCACGCCTGTAATCCCAGCACTTTGGGAGGCAGAGGTGAGCAAATCACTTGAGGTCAGGAGTTCGAGACCAGCCTGGCTATATGGTGAAACCCCATCTCTACTAAAAATACAAAAATTAGCCAGGCATGGTGGTGCATGCCTGTAGTCCCATCTACTTGGGAGGCTGAGGCACAAGAATTGCTTGAACCCAGGGGGCAGAGGTTGCAGTGAGCTGAGATTTCACCAACGTACTCCAGCCTGGGTGGCAGAGCAAGACTCCATCTGAAAAAAAAAAGAAAAAGAGAAATGTTATGTATTGCTCTTTGAGAAAGTTCACTGGCACTAGTAAAATTTGGGGGAGCTGGCAAGTTTTGATTGATAAGTGACAGCAGTGAGTAAAACTATTCTTAGAGTCACTGGAGGCTGTTTCAGCAGCTATTAGATAAAACAGGTTATAGGTTGCAGCGGACTGCTTCAGCAGCCAGGCTTGCAGGGAATTACATTCTTGCAGCAATGTTACATGCCCTGAGTGCTTTTTCCCTCTGGCTTTTCTACTCTGTTTTAGTTGGGTATAACAATAATGACCCAATTCCTGTGATCAACTTTCACAAGTATGAGTGCGGTTTGTATGACTTTGTCATGTATAACTGTGACACAAGACTGAGCAGTTATTATTGTATTATATCCGTGGATGGAACATTATATGGCTAATAAAAAATGGATATGACATAACATTAAATGATATTCAAAATTATGATTATTAATAACCAAGCTGGCCAGGCACAGTGGCTCACACCTGTAGTCCCAGCACTTTGGGAAGCTAAGGTGGGAGGATCACTGGAGCCCAGGAGTTTAAGACCACCCTTGGCAACACAGTGAGACCCCATCTCTACAGATTTTTAAAATAAATTTAAAATAATAATAATGACCAAGAAAAAAATGTAATTATATATGAATAACATCTACTAAGTATTTCATTGGCTATTTTGTGAGGATTATATATTCAAAGTGATATTTTAGTTGAATATTCAATGAATAAGGGGAGAATATAACCACAGGTATTAAGTATCCAGTGTACCATACAGTATTCTGTGTTTGCATATATTCCTCATCCCATCTTACCAGAATCAGGCTATTCATAGCAAATCTTGACGGTGAAATGTCCAGTTGCATTAATGAATGTCAAGAACTTAGAGGTGTTAACCAGTCAAATGATTTTCCATCCACAGTACAATGTATTTGCTCACACTTAATGACTGTAAGAAAAGTCTTCCCCCACAATTCTGTTATTTTTTTAAATTTGGAAATAGCTTTCTATTTCTGAAAGAATTAATGACAAACTGTGAGGCAGCCAAATATATATATATGTGTGTGTGTGTGTGTGTATATGTGTATATGTGTATATATATAGATATATATAGCCATATATATAGATATAGATATAGATATAGATATATAGATATAGATATATATTTAGTCTTAAGCCCTAGTTCTGGTGCAAAGCTATTAAAACTCAGGTTGGAACTTACTATCTTTTGTATGCTAGTGAGATGACTCATGTTGAGGGGATAAGAGGGGCCTGGATAACTTCGGGTTGGAGTCTGGTCACCAGAAAAACCAACCATATGATCAAAGGGTCAGAACTTTAAGCCTCACCCAACTCCAACTTGGGGAGGGGAGAAGGGCTGGAGATTGAGTTCGGTCACCGATGGCCAGTGCTATAATCAATCCTTTCTACATAATGAAACCTCCATAAAAACCTTGAATGATGGGGTTCAGCAAGCTTCTGAGTTGGTGAACACACCAGGCATGGTGGCTCACACCTGTAATCCCAGCACTTTGGGAGGCCAAGGTGGGCAGATCACTTAAGGTCAGGAGTTCAAAAGCAGCCTGACAACATAAACACAGATTGCCTGAGTGATCTGTGTTTAAGTCTGGGGCTCATCCAGAACCTGATCTATCCCACCAGCCCACACTACAATCCAAATATCAACTTATTTTCTTGTTAATCCTATAAAAACTTCTCTGTCTATAACCAGCCTATCAGAGATACACAGATCAAGTGTCCAGCCCCAGATATGTTAGCTGTATCCCTGTGAAGGACTCATTTATCTTGGAATTCAGTTCCTTAAGGCTAATTTGCCTCTACCACTTCTATCTAACTTCATAGAAAAGTGTGACTTTTATTTTGTCCAGATTTTTCTTATTTTTACAGCGGGGTAGAAGGTCTTTTGTGTCATTATACATCCTAAACTAAAGCAAAAGTCTTATATGGGGTTTATTTTTCATTTTTCATTCTGTTTTTTCTTGGTCTTTTTAAAAGGTTATTGTTAAGGGTTGAATTGTGTGCCCTCAAAATTCATGTGTTGAAGACCACTCCCCAGGACTTTATAATATAAGCTTATTTAGAAATAGGGTCATTGGAGCCAGGCACAGTGGCTCACACCTGTAATCCCAGCTTTTTTTTTTTTTTTTTTTGAGACGGAGTCTCGCTCTGTCACCCAGGCTGGAGTGCAGTGGCGTGATCTCGGCTCACTGCAAGCTCCACCTGCTGGGTTCACACCATTCTCCTGCCTCAGCCTCCTGAGTAGCTGGGACCACAGGCGCCCGCCACAACGCCCAACTAATTTTTTTTGTATTTTTACTAGAGACGGGGTTTCACCGTGTTAGCCAGGATGGTCTCGATCTCCTTACCTCATAATCCGCCCATCTCGGCCTCCCAAAGTGCTGGGATCACTCAAAGGAGTGAGCCACCGCGCCTGGCCATACCTGACTATATTTTTGACCACCTGTCCTTAATCATCTATTTGTAGACAGCAATTGGTTAAGTTAAATTTTCCACAGACTTCTCTTTCAGCTGCCAGCAAATAGTCTAAGGCCAGTCTATTCTGATAGGTGGCATTTCTCATTTGGTTTCCTGCCGGACTAAAGCAGTCAAAGCTCTACGAGTTTCATTAGTGATTATTTGTAAGACGGCCTGCAACCGTATGATCCAATTGAGCATGTGGATGGGGATTTGGTATCCCTGTGAGCCATCTTGTGCCCATGTGGCAAGCCCATAGTACTGTATGACCCTCTCAGGGGGCCACTCATCATCTTTCCAATTTCATATAGCTGTGCTTCTCTTTTCCCGGAAGGCATAGACAGGGAAACCTAGGAGCTCACCTGTCTTTATGGGCAGTAGAAAAAAGGATGGCTTCATGGTGCCAATGACACAACTACCTGCCCATTGATCAGGTAACTGAGTGTAGGCTGTGTGCCCACATATCTAGTATAGTCCAGCGGGAGCCATCCAGTCTCGATGAGATTCTGGATGAGCCTTGGCAGTCTGTAATTTAGAAAATTTACTAAATGGATTATTTTCAGTATGGTTTAGACCCCACCAAGTGACTGTCCTTGTTGTGCTATTGTACAACTTCTGTCCTAGACAACTGAGCTTTCCTACAGGGATGGTGAAGTCTTTTCCTTCTCTAGCTACACAGTATTGTCCAATAATTGAAGTTTTTAGGACCCAGAGGTTGCTAGTTTGGGCCTTCTGAACTGGAATTGTGTCAGGAACTGGATCAGTGGGCACCAACTCTCAGGCTTCCCAAGGTCATCAGTCTCCCATAGTAGTTCCCTCACATACATATCAGAAAGTAACATTGAGGAAATGAGCTACACTTTCTGCTAACTGCAGAAAGAAGTTCTTTGTCTTTTTTGGAAGCTCTGGTGCTGGCAGATTCAGCTCATCATAAAAAGTTTGAAACACTGGTTTGGGAGAGCGCCTGTGGACCTCCCCTTGAACTAAAATGGCAGCTTGGGGGTTAACCCTGATCCATCGATCTCCAGGGTTACACGTTCTCCTTTTTTCCAGCGGGGGTCTAGGGGATTAGTGGGTCATGAGTTAGAGGCCAACGAAAATTGTGCCTATTGGCTGTGTTATTTAGGCTGCTTAGAAAAAGGACAGAAAAGATCCGGTTCACCTTCAAAAAAAGGAAGCCAATCCCTCCTGTTCTACCGGTCACTGTAACCCACTAGAACTAATAATCACTAATCCCCTAGACCACTCAGGAGTCTGAGGCAGGAGAATTGCTTGAACCCTGGGGGTGGAGGTTGCAGTGAGCTGAGACCATGCCATTATGTTCCAGCCTGGGCAACCAGAGCAAACTCCATCTCAAAGAAAAGGAAGACGGGAAAAATGAAAAGAAGGAAGGCTATGTCCAACTTGAAGTTAGAAAACAGAATAACAATAAACACAAAGAAAGTTGGATGAAGTCAGCAATAAGCACAAATTAAAGAAATAGAAAACACTGATACAATAGAGGCTAAATGCGAACAACTGCTTATTTGAAGTGATCCACTTCTGAGTTCATTAAAAAATAGATTATTTTAAAAGATGAATAAAAAAGAGAACAGGCACAAATAATATTAAGAAAGAAAAAGACTACACAAGAATAGAAAATATTTTTTGAATTAGAATAAATCTGAAAAGAGATGAAATGGTCAATTTCCTAGAAAGCTGTAACTTAAAGAATTGACAAGAGGAGACAGAAACTTTTAATAATAGACAATTTGTCATTAATGATACAGCATCAGTAGTTTAGAATTTAAATTCTAATCATCACCAGGCTCAGATAATTGCATGCAGGAGTTGAATTAGGAAAGAGTTCAGACGCATCGTATGTGTCACTTCAGATCCTCTCAGCCTCACCTGTGCCTGGGGCCTCTGGAAACTTGTTTCTCTTGACTCACTGCTACAGCAACATCCCTGCATGAACTCGGAACAACTCTTCATGGGCACAAGCAGCAACAGAGCCTGACCTCATGCCTGCAATGGACACCACTTGTCTGAAGCCCTAGGGCTTTCCTGTTGATGCTGATGCGTGAGAGGTTACAGAACCCATTGAGCTATTCACACGCGACCTGGAAGTACAGTGGAGTTAATAGTCTGTGGGACAAACCTTTCATGAATAGGTAATAGGAGCCAGTGGATGAATTCACCTCCCTTCTTCTCCTCAGCTAGATGGTCTTAAAATACAAAATTAAACATCAGTTACACTTGATAGCAAGCAGTGGCCAGCTCAGTAAGACCTTCATACAAGTGTTCTCTCCTTCCCTACCACACTATACTTTTCCCTCGCTCCTGCCTCCCTGGAATTGTACCTGCTGATAAAATAATAGCACAGAAACTTCTTAGGGTCCTCCCTGTAGGGAATGTAAGCTAAGAGGAGTGTTTCCAGGAGAGACCCTCAAGATCTTTGTGATAGGATTTTAAGCCTGTTACTTATCCACGTTTGGCCCAAGTCTGATCTCACAGTGAGTTCGGTGAGTCCATGAACTCACCCTATGGTTGTTTTCCTCTACCCTTTAACATATATTTGGGATAGATATGCTCATCTTCTGGTAGAACCTATTATAGTGGCTTCCTAACTTGTGAACTAAGAGTCTTTACGGGCCAGGCGCGGTGACTCATGCCTGTAATCCCAGTACTTTGGGAGGCCGAGGCGGGTGGATCACGTGGCCAGGAGATCAAGACCATCCTGGCTAATGTGGTCAAACCCCATCTCTACTAAAAATACAAAAAATTAGTCAAGTGTGGTGGTGCGCACCTGTAATCCAAGCTACTTGGGAGGCTGAGGCGGGGGAATAGCTTGAACCCAGGAGGCAGAGATAGCAGTGAGCTGAGATCACGCCACTGCACTCCAGCCTGGCGACAGAGTGAGACTGTCTCAAAAAAAAAAAAAAGAGTCCTTATGGTATAAAGGGCCAAATGGAAACCCTTCAAACTCAATACTGTGTTGTGGGAGGAATTACAGAGATTGCGTCATCATCAAAAAGTAAGAGGATGCAGGATTCTTTGTCCCTATCATATCCCCATTCATTTCACTTGGCCCCTGCAAAAAACCTGCATGACTGAAGCTAGTGGATGTGGTAGATTGAAAAAAAAATCCACAAATTCTTCCCATTCCTGTGTGTATATTCTTTGCAACATGACTTTGCAGGTCTTCCCTTCAAAGGTGGAGTCAGTTTCTCCACTCCTTGAATCTGGGCATGTACGTTTGATTTTCTTGGAGACATTAGTAAATGTGACATGTATAGAGGTTTGAAAAATGCTCACTGGGCCGGGCGTGGTGGCTCAAGCCTGTAATCCCAGCACTTTGGGAGGCCGAGACGGGCGGATCACGAGGACAGGAGATCGAGACCATCCTGGCTAACACAGTGAAACCCCGTCTCTACTAAAAAATACAAAAAACTAGCCGGGCGAGGTGGTGGGCGCCTGTTGTCCCAGCTACTCGGGAGGCTGAGGCAGGAGAATCACTTGAACCCGGGAGGCGGAGCTTGCAGTGAGCTGAGATCCGGCCACTGCACTCCAGCCTGGGTGACAGAGTGAGACTCCGTCTCAAAAAAAAAAAAAAGAAAAAAGAAAAATGCTCACTGAATGGAAATCGCTTTCTTGTTGCATTTTGAACCCAGCTCCCATGAGTTCAAGCAAGCCTGAACTAGACTGAGGGATGATGAGAAACATAAGGCCAAGTTATCCTCATACCCACCTGCCTGACAATAACCAACCAACCATTAGAAATTTGAGTGAGGCCTGACTATACTATCCAGCTGCAGCCAAACCAGCCCAGAGCAAAAGAAATGCTCATAAAGCCCCCAGAATTGTGAGAAATAATATTTGTAATTTCAAGCCTCTAAGTTTTGGGGTTACTGATTGTATTAGTTCTTTTTCACACCACTGATAAAGACATACCCGAGACTGGGTAACTGATAAAGAAAGACAGGTTTAATGGACTCATAGTTCCACATGCCTGGGGAGGCCTCACAATCATGGCAGAAGAGCAAGAGAGAGCAAAGGGATGTCTTACATGGCGGCCAGCAAAGACAGAGTGATAGCCAAGCAAAAAGGGTTTCCCCTTATAAAACCATCAGCTCTCATGATACTTATTCACTATCATGAGAACAGCATGGGGGAATCCCCCACCCCATGATTCAGTTATCTCCCACCGGGTCCCTCCCACAACATGTGGGAATTATGGGAGCTACAATTCAAGATGAGACTTGAGTGGGGACACAGTCAAACCATATCACTGATTATGTGGCCAAAGCTAATTTATAGTGACTACTTTAAATGTAAACAAATAGCAGCTCCAATTTCAGCTGCTGTGTCAGATGTGACATCTTTACTGGAGTTGACCAACCTAGTTTTTGGTTCTTAGTATGTGCTTAGTGATCTGACAAATGTATTTTACTTGATCTCTGACATTTAGGAGAATCAAAAGCCATTCATGTGTGCATGGTAAGGACTGCAGCACTATCTTGCCCCAGGTTCCTGATAACCCTCCTAATCTCCATTATGTTGTAGTCCACAGAGGCCTTGATCATCTTTACATTCTGAAGAACATAGCACTGGTTCATTCCACCAATAACATCATCTAATTGGACCTGGTGATCAGGAAGTGGCAATCACTGTAGAAACCATAGTAATGCAAATGAGTGACAGAAAGAGGGAGATAAACCTCATGAAAGTTCACTAACCTACCACATCAATGAAGATTTTAGAAGTCCAATCATCTGGGACATGCCATAATATCTCCCTTAAGGTAAAGAATAAGTTATTACAACTCACACTTCCTAAACTGATAAAGAGGTACATAATTTGGTAGGGCTCTTTGACATTTGAAAGTGATAGATATATGATAGATGATAGATGATAGATAGATAGATAGATCGATTGATCGATCGATAGATAGGGTGGGGCGTGGTGGCTCACGCCTGGAATCCCAGTAGTTTGGGAGGTCAAGGCGGGTGGATCACTTGAGGTTAGGAGTTCGAGACCAGCCTGGCCAACATGGCGAAACCCCCTCTCTACTAAAAATACAAAAATTAGGTATGGTGGTACATGCCCTTAGTCCCAGCTACTCAGGAGGCTGAGGCAGGGGAATCGCTTGAAGTCAGGAAGTAGAGATTGTGGTGAGCTGAGATCACGCCACTGCACTCCAGCCTGGGTGACAAAGTGAAATTCTGTCTCAAAAATAAAATAAAATTAAATTAAATTAAAAGTAAAATAATAGATGGGTGTATATAGATGTGTGTATATGTATAATATATAGATTTATATGATTCATATATAAATCACACTTCAGAATAGTGTTCTTTTTTTCTCTTTTTTAAATAGTTCTAGGTGTGTTTTATAGCTGGTTTTTCGTTTTGTTTTCATTTTAGACAGGGTCTCACTCTATTGCCCAGGCTGGAGTGCAGTGGCACAATCACAGCTCACTGCAACCTTGACCTCCCTGGCTCAAGTAGATCCTCCCACCTCAGCCTCCCGAGTAACTGGGACTACAGGCACATGCCACCGTGCCCAGCTAGTTTTTAAATTTTTTGTGAAGAAGGGGTCTCCCTGTGTTGCCCACACTGGTCTCAAACTGCTTTTTCTTTTTTTTTTTAAGAAATAGGTTCTCACTCTATTGCCCAGGCTGACCTCAAACTCTGGCTTCAAGCAATCCCCCCACTTTGGCCTCCCAAAGTACTGGAATTATAGGTGTGAGCCATCATGCCTGGCCTGGAATATTGTTCTGACTCATTTTTCAGATAAACTTGAAGGCTGCTGAGTTTCAAAGCAGGTGAGAGCTCTACAGCAGGTAAAGCCTGTGATGCAATCTCTCTGTCCCTGAGCCACATGAATCAGCAACTTCGATGGTGTCAGCTCTATCTGTGATGGTTGGAGCTGTTATGTGGAGTCTCTGGCAAGATACAAAAGCAAAATTACAGCCCGTAAGGTTCTGAAGTAAGTCCAATTATTATGCAGCATATAAGTGCTTTCAATTTGAAAATCAGCTGCTGAGTACTAATAGAGTCTGTGATTTTGACCATGGGACATCAAGTATCTATATGACTAAAACTACCTGTCACGAGTTGGGTATCTAACCCACTGAATCACAGTGTCATTTTGGCACAGTAGTAATTCATTGTAAGAGATCTAGATGGCACAAAAGAGTTACACAGACAGCTCAGACTCTCATGTCATTGGCCTTGGTTGCAGCTATGTTGTTCCTTTAATTCACATTCATGACTTCATATGAAGATTTTACTGTAGAAAATTAAGGAAGAAAAGGTCTGGCTCATAGATGGATCAGTATGACTGATATATTTTGGAAGCTGAACCTGAATTATCGTATTATAGGACCACTACTCAGAGGTGGGTCCTACAGGCAGTGGTGAAGGTAAATCCTGGTGTACAGAGCTGTGATTGGAGATCTTCACTTCATCTGTTTATGTGTCTTAGAGATAGGTCTTTCTCTGTTACCCAGGCTGGAGTGCAGTGGTAGGATCATAGCTCACTGCAGCCTCAATCTCTTGGGTTCAAGTGATTTTTTCATTTCAGTCTCCCCAGTAGCTGGGACTACAGGTGTGCACCACTACACCAGCTAATTTGTTTTAAATGTTTTGTAGAGGTGGAGTCTCCCTCTGTTGCCCAGATTGATTTTGAACTCCTGGGCTCGAGCTATCCTCCTGCCTCAGGCTCACAAAGTGCTGGGATTACAGGCTGAGCCACCACACCTGGCCCCTGCACTTAAATTGGAGTGAGATGTGGCCCAATGTGCAGATATACATGGGCTCCTGGGAAATGGCCCATGGCTTTCTATTTGGTCAGAATCTTGTAAGGAATGAGACTGGAAGCTTAGGGGCAAGTAGGTCTAGGAAGAAGTATGTGGATAAATTCATGGGCATACACACAAAAAGCATACATGTATGTGTCTCATCCTAATGCCTACAAAAAATTATCCTTGGCTGGGCACAGTCGCTCATGCCTATAATCCCAGAACTTTGGGAGGCTGATGCAGGCAAATCACTTGAGGTCAGGAGTTCGAGACCAGCCTGGCCAACATGGTGAAACCCCATCTCTGCTAAAAATACAA